GGGGGGAGCGGAGCCGGGCTGGGGAGCCGGTAAGGCGACGAACGCCCTCCCGCCCGCCCGTCCCACCGCGTTGCAAAACCCTCTCGGTTGGGGCAAAGGGCAGAACCGGGCGCCTCTCGCCCGCCCCGTCCGCCCCGGGCTGGTTCTTCTGGCAGCCGCCACCAGAAAAAAAAACAAAAAAACAAACAAAAAAAACACCCGGTCGATCCCGTGATGGTTTTTATGGTGCAGCTGGGGCAGAGTATCGCATGGGAGGGAAAGGTGAGGCGCCCGGTGCAAGGCCACGCTCAACCCATTGCTTTTCTCAAGCTTTTTAATTAGCAGCGCAGTTAATTAGCCTGGCAAGACGAAGCTTGCTGGGCTGTTTGCGCCCCAGCCTGGGCTTGATGGTAACAAAAAAAGGCTTTGTTGTTTTTTTTTTAACTAATGAGAGCTCGTTTAATGCACGGTGTTCGCACGCAGGGTTGGCGGGGGGGCGAAGGGGGGGGTGCGGATCCAGGTGGTCCCGGTTCGGGGTCAAGTGGTTCCCTCCTGGAAAGGGCTAAAAACGAGGCAGGTTTTCAAATAAAGTGGAGGAAAACCAAAAAGAAAAAGCGGATTTTGTAGATGGACGTTTCTGACGGGAGCTGCGACAAAGCGAACGCAAGGAGCGCTGGTTTCCCCCTTTTCCCATGGAAAGGAGGAAAGAAGGAGACATGCATGGACACACATGTGTGCCACAAGCTGGGGGGTGCAATTTGGGGTTGGATGGAGACGTTCGGGGTTGGATGGAGACATTGGAGGTTGGATGGAGATGTTCAGGGTTGGCTGGAGACGTTGAGGGTTGGATGGAGACATTGGGGGTTGGCTGGAGACATTTGGGGTTGGATGGAGACGTTCGGGGTTGGATGGAGACATTGGAGGTTGGATGGAGATGTTGAAGGTTGGCTGGAGACGTTGAGGGTTGGCTGGAGATGAGGGCTGGCTGGAGACGTTGGGGGTCGGATGGATGCGTTGGGGGTTGGATGGAGATGTTCTCCTCTCCCTGCGGGAGACCCAGGCCTTGGTGAGCTCCCGCTCATCCATGTTGGGCACCCCAGGATGCCTGAACAAGCATGGTCTGCTAACAAAGATGCCTCCGCGTAGATCCCATGCCGTGACCCCCAAAGCCAGGGAGGGTGGGCTGGACGGCCAGCCAGACCACCTAACCCTTCCGCTGGGGTACATCGATAGACAGAAATGGGGTGAGACAACAGAAAGCTGAATGGAGGGATGGATGGACAGGGTGGATGGATGGATGGTGGACAGATGGATACATGGATGGGTGGGTGGATGGATGGATGGATACATGGACGGATGGGTGGGTGGATGGACGGATACATGGATGGATGGATGGGTGGATGGATGGACAGATACATGGATGGATGGGTGGGTGGATGGACGGATACATGGACGGATGGGTGGGTGGATGGATGGACGGATACATGGATGGATGGGTGGGTGGATGGATGGACGGATACATGGATGGATGGGTGGATGGATGGATGGATACATGGACGGATGGGTGGGTGGATGGATGGACAGATACATGGATGGATGGGTGGGTGGATGGCTGGGTGGATGCCTGGAGTGGTGGATGGATAACCTTAACCTGCTGGAAGGATAAAAAGACAAGCAGCTGGATGGATAGAGACCAGAGAAGGCTAGCTGGAGACTTAGATAGATAAATTGATGGCTGGATAGAGAGATAGACAATGAGACGGCTAATTTTAACATAATGGCTGGCTAGTTCTGCAGCCAGACCGGAGGAGCCCCAAGAAGGACGGATGGCCAACCTCAACCGATGGATGGATGGATGGATGAACAGCTGTACGGCCAGAACCTGCACCGTGGGACAGACGGGGTACAGACGGAGGGAGGGCAGAGAAGGAGGGATAGACCGCAGGAGGGAGGGACGGGTATGGGTGCTGCCCACCCCGCGCCGGGGTTGGGGGAGAAAAAAGGGAAAAAAACGACACCACCACCACCAAAAAAACCCCCAAATCCCAGCGTTTGCAAGCAGATCTGCCCGCCTCCCCCCTCCTCCCCGAACCGCTGGGAAAAGGAGGAAAGAAATGGGAACCCTGTTGCGCAAAAGCAGCGGAGGCGGG